CAGCACCTATACCTGCAGCACCACCTCCACCCCCTCCCCCACCTCCACCACCACCTCCTCCTCCAATGCCAAGTAAGGATAGCACTGTTAAACACTTTTACTTTTTTAAATCATTTGCACTGAAACTGGTTCATAATTGTGTAATCCTCTACAGTAAATATTATCCCTGCTATTAACAGAGATTAACATATGCCATAGCAAAGATTCTCATTTGACTTCCACTATGCCCCTCATACTATCAGATTGCCTCAATGGTTCACCCACTCCTAATGAGGGTAGACTGATGAAAGAATGTCGTTGTACACAGAAGTAAGACTAACTCTCTGATCTAGGATCCCTAAACACTCTCTGCTCAAAGCTTTTAATAAATATGAGATCCATAATACAGAATAGCAAAATCTGACTAAAGCTGTCTGGGGTGAAATGTGTCAAGTATAATGATGCGCCATCTGGTTTAATCTCTGTAGGACGATGGTGGGCACTCTCCTGAGATCTTGGTTCTTTATCCCTCTGCCAACCCAACTCCAGAGCCCCCAGCCTTCTACATACTCTATAGGAATAGATGAAGAATTGCACTTCTTGTGCACCTTAAATAGTTAACTGTTACTGGAATCTTGAGGTGAATCCTCTGCTAGCATCTCATGGAAATATAACTGGCTAGAGAGTCTGCAGCAGACATTATACATGCCATACACTTTGTAACAATGGGCAACTCTGTCAGATCCCAAATAACCCTAAACACCTGCAAAAAATGAGTATGAATTGGCATAATCCACTTCCTTAGTTGCTACAAACAAAAGTTCATCATTAGAATCCAGTATAAAAGAGCATGGAAATGTGAACCACATTATAGTCGCTTGTAATTCCCTTTTGGCCAAGAAAATGCATTGTATGTGTACAGTATATCCTCCGGGTAATGTTCTACAAATGTGGTATCAAGAGTTGTCTCAATGCACTAAACAGTGTTGTCTTTTATAAAGTTTCTGTGTTTTTTGAAAACCAGTCATTTCTTGGGTTGTTCTGTTTTATTGCGTTTCTGATTACCAGATTCCCTAAATTCCCTTTTGTATGCTTATGTTATACCTATATAACCATTTCATTTTACCTGCAGGCAAGTGTCCTCCCCCACCTCCTTTTCCTTCTTCCTCACCTTCAGTTATCCTCACAACTGGTTTGTCAGGTAAATATCACCGCACTGTGTCCAATCTATAGAATCACACCCAATCACCTAGTATCTTTTGTATTGCCTCTGTTCTGATTTTATTTCAGCAATCAGGATCAAGAAGCCAATAAAAACAAAGTTCCGTCTGCCTGTGTTTAACTGGACTGCTCTAAAACCCAACCAGATTAGTGGCACCGTGTTTAGTGATCTGGATGATGAGAGGATATTACAGGTGAGAGAGAACATATAGCCAGAGATATGCTCAAAATTAGGAAATTCATCGGAGCTAATCAGAAGTAATCTTTCAATGATCTGACTACAATAAACTGAGATCTTACTGGTCCCATTAGTATACAGTGCTTTGCACATTATCCGTGCCTTATTAGCACATCAGCACACATTTCTTTAGTACATAATAGTAAACCTTTTATTTTATCCTTTACATCTATTTCCAACTTATTACCATATAAGTGGGCCACTTGTATTTACTTCTTAATGGCTCTGGTCCTCCCCCAAAACACATTTCTCTTGAATCTGATTTCTTAAAAAATTTCCTTTTATTGATACTGTCTACAATTTTAATATAAAACTCAGCATTCATAAAGGTGAAGTATTGGAAGAATCAAATGTACTCTTCCCAATACTTAGAAGCGGCGTGTAAAACTGCAGGTGTCTCGCTGGCTCTATAGCTCGGGAACTGAGCGATCGCATACTACTGATCGCTCAGCTCACGTTCTTCTCCTTGCACAGGGATCCGCAGGGATTCCCCTCTCTGTTTTTCCAGAGCTCATTGGAGAGGCAGATGGGGAAGGGGTGGTCGCAGCTGGCTCTGGCCCTGAAGAGGCAGAGCCAGCTGTCAATCAAGCAGCGGGTGGAACCCCAAAAATATTGTCGGGATCTTTCCCGGCTACAGCGTGGCTCTGCGCTGTCAGCAAATAGCAGGCAGTAGCCCGCTAGATCCTGACTTGGGCTCCCAGGAGAGCAATAGTAAATATAACTCCTTTGACCCAAAAGAGAACTAAATCCGAAGTAAGGGTTTGTTTTCTTTAAGCATTGTGTATCTGTTACACATAGAGGAGCTGATTTATATAAAATGGATATAGATTGGTGTTTTTTTTTTAAATTGTATTTATTTTTAATTTTTTAGGATCTGGATATGGATAAATTTGAAGAGCTGTTCAAAACCAAAGCACAGGGAGCTGCCATTGAAGTGACGTGCTCCAAGAATAAATCTTCCCAGAAGTCTATGAGTAAAGTGACCCTTTTAGAAGCAAACCGAGCTAAGAACCTGGCAATCACTCTGCGAAAAGCTGGAAGGGCTACAGAGGAGATCTGTAAAGCTATCCACATGTATGCATTAAACTTCAGCCTTGTTTTCTCTCTCCCCCTGTTCATACACAGTCCACAAATGTGCTTTTATCATACCATGGTGCAATTATAGTGGTGTATAGTACATCTCTGTCTGTGCCATGTTGCTAACTATTAAAAGAGAACTATGGGGTAAATGTTTTTCCCCATAGTTCTCTTAAGGGTCACGGGAGGACATATAGTAACCTCCAACCGTGACCCAAAGCTCAGTATATCGCGAGCTATGCGATCCCGACAATGCTGTCGAGATCCACCCAGCTGCGTGAATGACAGCTGGTGCTGCCTATCTAGAGGCAGAGCCATCTGTACCCGCCCCCTCCCTGTCCGTTCCGCCAGTCAGTGCTTGATCAACGTCAAGATAGATACATCGTTCATGATGTAGGGTTTACAACTGTACAGATAATTATCAACATTTGGTTGTGAGAACAGGCAGGATGGGTTATTGTCATACATTCTGGATGCGCTGTCTATCTGTAATGCCAGCTGTACCAGTACGTTGAGAAGGACAGCGATAGGGCAATGGGGCATCCCACCCTCTCAGGGTTGGGTGTAGAGAGTTCAATAGATGGTAGATGGAATAACATCCCCCTGATATTGTGGGTCTACTCTGAGGTACGGGCTGCACATATGCTTGTGGGGGGGGGGGGGGAGGAGGAGGAAAGAGAGTAAGAAAGATGGAAAGGGCCGGGTCCGGCCGGAGGTGGGAGTTGGGGTAGGGTGAAGAAAGGAGTGAGAGCAGAAGGGAGCAAAGATTAGCATCCCCACTCTGTGTGAAGCATTAGGATCCTATCTAAGTGTAAGGTATTCAGGGGACCGTATGTACTCCATCCAGGGAAGCCACGTGCGGGTAAATGATGCGGTGTTATGTTTAATTGAGCATGTGAGTGTCTTCCATGAGGTATATATCATGGATGCGGTCTAGGACCTGTCCGATGAGGGGGGGCTCGGGTTTCTTCCAATGGGCCGGGATACATGCCTGGGCCGTGTTGACTAAGTGTCTGATGAGCGAGTGGGCATAAGTGCGGAGGGGGATAGTATTGTGATGCAGTAGGAAGAAGGCAGGGTCTCGGGGGACCTGAGCATCCGTAAATTTCTGAATGAGAGCGCATACCTGGTCCCAGAACTGCCGGAGAGCCGGGCAGGTCCAATAGATATGGAGCATGCCTGCTGACGTTTGCTGGCATCGCCAACAGAGGTCAGGGGAGTCTGGAAATAATGAGTGGAGGGTCTGTGGAGTGCGGTACCATCTGGTCACTATCTTGTAGCCCAACTCCTGGTACCTATTGCTGATAGAGGAGCGTTAAAATAGAGTAGTTTGACCGCGGCCTCCGGGGTTATACTGATCTGGAGTTCCTCCTCCCTTCTCGATAGTAACCATAGGAGTGGGGATTCAGTCGGTTGGATCAGTTGTTTGTAGCAGAATTTAAGTGTATGGCGGGGGGTACCCGATTGAGTAGAGGTTTGCTCAAAAGGGTTAAGAGGTCTGTGGGCACTACGCGTGGAGGTGGTAGTGTGCAGGAAGTGGGTCAATCGCATAGTCAACCAAAAGTAGAGAGGACCATACTTCGGTTGGGTGCGAAGGGCATGGGTGGAGGGCCATGCTGAGTCTAACAGGAGGTGCATAAGGTCAGTGATTTTCACTCTTTTTAATCCATTAATAGACCTCAAGTTATACGTTGAAATTCTTTGTCCTTTCTCTCCAGGTTCGACTTGAAGACATTGCCTGTAGATTTTGTGGAGTGTCTGGTACGCTTCTTACCTACAGAAGCAGAGGTGAAGTTGCTAAGACAGTATGAGCGGGAGCGTAAGCCTCTTGACGACCTCTCTGACGAGGACAGATTCATGATGCACTTCAGCAAAGTGGAGCGTCTCTCTCAAAGGATGTCAATCATGACATTCATGGGCAATTTCAGTGAGAACCTGCAGCTGCTAACACCGGTATGAAGTCACTGGCTACTACCAGCTCTTTTCCCTGCAATAGTGCTCCAGGCTTCTGATTAATTGAGCCTTCCATACCTTGATACCATTGTATACATTGTTTATAAAAAGTGATCCAAGCAATGTTGAGTATTAAGTGTTTAAATTGTTGCTTGGATAATTGTAATATTCTGTTATTTTTAATCAGTGTCATAGCTACATATGTATGGGCCCCTGTGTAAATTGTGCACTTTCCAACCCTCCACTTCTCAACCCCTCCCTTTATGGCCCTCTCCTTAATCCCATCTAGGGCTGCAACAACTAATCGACATAATCGATTATAATCGATTATTGAAAAAGTTGTCAACTTTTTCAATAATCGATTAATCGGCTTCCGATCAGTTGGCCCTGTTCACGGCTCCACACACGCTCCACACACACGCTGCGTGCCGCACCTCCTCCCCAAATCACGCTCATCGCTGCCAGACCCGCCCACCTGCATCCACGCTTTACACAACGCACCTCCTTCCCGCCTCACACTCACCGCCCGCCCACATCCACAGGGACGCGGGGAGATGTAGTAAGGAGGAGCAGGTGTGGGGGGATGACAGCCGTCGACAGACAGACCCGATCTCAGAAGCAAGACTGCTCAGGTAAGCCTGCACTTTCCCCCACATGGTGCTCTATAATGTATTGCTGGGATTTGTAGTCCTCTATAGCTGATGGTACATTGTGCTGTATATTATACATAGGAATACAAATCCTAGCAATACATTATACACTGTATGTATAATGTACTATTGCTGGGATTTGTTGTACTCCTCTATAGCTGGTGGTATTCTGCACTGCGCTGTATAGAGGACTACAAATCCCAGCAATAATACATTATACAGCACCATGCGGAATTCCACCAGCTATAGAGGAGCACTCCTCTATAGTTGGTTATATTCTGCATTGCGCTGTATAATGTACTATTGCTGGGATTTGTAGTCCTCTATAGCCGGTGCCATTTTGCATTCATTGCTGTATAATTTTACACTTTCCATTTCACTATATTGCACACCACACTATTTTTTTTCTTTTTTACTTCCACCGCTCCAAGCTTGCTCCTGTGATGGACTACAACCTCAATACAAACTAGTAGTCCCATCACTGGAGCCATTTTTTAAAATGTATTTTATTGTTTATCCGATTAATCGAACCTAATAAAATCGGCTAACTAATCGATTTTGAAAATAATCGTTAGCTGCAGCTCTAATCCCATCCCTTGTGATATCTTCTACTTGAAGTAATAAAGTAATTAAAATTAATATTTAAGCAGTGAGGTCCTGTCAACAGATCTTCTAGAGTAGATTTAGTTGACTAGCAGAGTAGCAGAACTTGGAAATGACACACCATGCAAAATCTGTAGGTTGCTTTTATTAGTATGGTAAACTTGGTCAAATGTTTTTTTCATATTTTATTTTTTGTTTTCTTAAAAATGTTACTTCATAAACAGCTAAGGCATTATAAAACCTAACCAAGAATAGGAATTCACTCCTCTCCCTAATCATTGTTATGTTTTATATCGCCTTAGTTGTTGCTGAAATAACATTTTACAATTTAACATGAAAAGATGGTGAAATACCTTTTCTGACAAAGTATTTAGGCTATATTTATCATGACAGCAAAATCATGGTTGTGGTACGTGTTTGTGGCCGGTATTTACAAACACAATAAAGTGATTTTCAGTTAACACTGATGCTGCAAACATAGAGAAATATAAAATGCAAAAAAACATTTTAATGCAATAAAATGACAGTAATAAAATAACAATAATAACCGTACTTTTTTTTTTTTACAAAAGAAAATTAAGGAGAGCAGAGAGAGGACGGAGTTAATACTGTAAGGGCTAGCAAGGAAGTTTGCTTCCTCAACTCATAAAAAAAATTAAAAAAAGAATAGATGCAGAGCAGCCACTAAATACGATGCATCAATGTCTGCTTACCTTTAAAATGAAATCACTTAGCAGAAACATCTGTTTTAAGTGCTGCAGTAGCTACTAATATCAGCTCTGCAGCTCAGATCAGAACCTCCGCTGTAAAAATTATAGTATACATACATACATACATGCATAGGGGTGTGCTACGTGGGGAAGGACCCTAGGGCTTATGAGGTTTGTCCTAGGTTTGTCCTAGATATCTATATCTATATATATATATACTGCTAGTAAGCAGTAGATATATGCAGAAACATAAAAAAAAAGTTTACAAAAGGGTTCAAACTTACCTGTGTCTCCGCAATCATGGGGCGGGCGCATGCGCAGTACAGATCTTTGGCCGGGAGACAAGGAGAGACACAAGGTAATGCAGCAGCATGCACTCGCACAGACACCGTGGGACAGGAAGAGACAGGAGTCGGCGCTGGATCAGAGACCGACACCAGCACTGGAGGGAATCCTGAAAACTACTATAAAGAAGAGGACGATCGGACCAAGAGGCATCATTTAAGGCAGTGGTTCTCAACCTGTGGGTCGGGACCCCTTCGGGGGTCGAATGACAATTTGCCAGGGGTCGCCGGAAGTCTCCCACTATTAGATAGCTATTAGATTATCATCATTATTATTAATAATAAAAGCTGACACCCTCGGCTTGTGTTATATGGTTTGCCATTTTAGCTGTTACACCAGTGGTTCTCAACCTGTGGGTCGCTGTGTGATTTCTGCTGTGCTAGGTGAGAGTCCTCCTCAGCCCTCTCCTAACGCAGCAGTGTCAGTTCTCCCGCCACGCTGCCAGATGTCGCTGCAGCAGCCGCGTCAACCCTAAATTTTACCGTTGGGGGTCACCACAACTTGCCAAATGTTACCAAGGGGTCCCGGCCCTAGAAAGGTTGAGAACCACTGATTTAAGGTAAGTCCTTATCTTAGCATGGGGGGGAGGGGGGACATTTTGCCGTTAATGTACTTGTTAAAAGCATTTTATTTGCAGATATGAGTAGAGGTCGTCAGATGCCAGTATATGCAAAATATTATTTTGGGATTCACTCCTCTCCGTAGTCATAGTTATGTTTTATGTTGCCTTACCTGTTTCTGAAGTCCCATTTTAATGATTTAACATGAAAAGATGATGATTCGCTACTTTCTCATATATTAAACTTACTCTTCCTAGCAACTGAATGCAGTGATTGCAGCTTCTGCCTCAGTCAAGTCTTCTCCAAAACTGAAACAAATGCTGGAGGTGAGTGAGGGTCAGAGAAGACCCAAGTAAACTGCGATACTACATATCAGGGGAATCGTTATACATTTGTCAACCATTTTGTTGTCTTCTTTACAGATAATCCTTGCTTTGGGTAACTACATGAACAGCAGCAAGAGAGGATCTGTCTATGGGTTCAAACTGCAAAGCTTGGATTTGGTATGTCAGCAGCTGGACTGGCTGCCTGCTAGGGGCCTTTTTTCTGTATCTATAGAGCTAAGGCTATAACCTTTAATGCATTTCTCCTTTGCACTTCAAATCATTATCTGATGTAGCTTCAAGACACAAAGTCAACAGACAGGAAGATGACATTGCTTAACTACATTGCGTTGATTGCCAAGGAGAAGTATGCAGAGGTGGCCACGTTCTTCAATGAGCTTCACTTTGTGGAGAAGGCGGCAGCAGGTAAGAACATAGCAATCTGCAGCAGTCCATTACAGCCAATTAGAAATCTTCTTTCATTAGTGACTACAACAAACTGTTTGAGGCTTTTCTATTGGGCTATGTGTGTTTTACCTCTTCACACAAAATATGTATTTTTGGATAAAAGGGGAAAGGTTAGAACTTCTGGCAAGCTAATACAGCTGTGTCTTCAATTGGGAGATTTCCTCTCGCTTCTGTCTCAATAACTCCCTGTCATTCCCTAACTCATACAACAATGTCACTTGATTATTGAGGGGAGTGAAGGGTAACCTGAGATACACCCAGCAATAAAAACCTAAGTTGCGATTGTCAAACATTGCCATGTTTCTTCTTTTTCCAGTGTCTCTTGAAATTGTCCTTATGGATATAAAGGAGCTCGGGAAAGGAATGGACTTGATTCGCAAGGAGAGCAGTCACCATGACAATAGTGTTCTCCGGAACTTTGTGAGTGCTCATGAAGGGAAACTGGACAGGCTTCAGAAGGATGCCAGAACAGCAGAGGTTAGTACATTAAAACCGCGAATATTAAAAGCAAAGTATGCATCTATTAAAACATTTTAATTCATATATACTGCAAAATAGTGTGTAACTAATATTTGCGGTTGCATTTGTCATAATTTTTTCTGGCTTTTCCCCCCTTTATTTTTACCTGATGATTCTGCCAGTAACTTCCTGTCCTAGGGTGACAATATTCACTCACTGTATTGTTTCTACGGTTGAGCATTGTTGTCATCTTAGCACAGGAAGTATGTTAGGACTACAGAACTCCTCTTACTCTATCTCCATAACATAGGAGGAGATGTTAGCAGAACTAAATAGGGTTGTTAACACTGCTTGAGTAACATTGCGGAGATCACGGGGCGCACTAGATTTCTAGCGTGATCACCAGGTATGTAATTACACTTATTGAACAGATGTAATGAAAAGTATTCAAATTTATATTTAACAGAGCAAAATGGAGCAATTAGAAGATGTTAATCAATAGTAGGGATGCACCGATACCGATATTAGTATCTCTTCTCGTCCATCTCCCTTCTCGTCCGCTCCTCACCCCATCTCCCGCTCCTCACCCCATCTCCCTTCTTGTCCGCTCCTCACCCCATCTCCCGCTCCTCACCCCATCTCCCTTCTCGTCCGCTCATTACGCCATCTCCCGCTCCTCACCCCATCTCCCTTCTCATATGCTTCTCACCACTTAT